GCGTTTCAGTCTGGCCGGATGAGTCGAGCGCCGAGCGATCGACCCAGTTGCTAGGCAACCAGGGCTGAGGTCTACGCAGGAAGTAGGTTCAACGATGCCCCGTAAGTAGCCCGGACTCCGGGTTTCAAGGCATTCGCCTACTAGGGAAGCGTGGGTCCACGCAAGCCCACAAGAAATAAGGGACCTAGCCCAGAGATGGCAGTGTTCGCCAGGAGAAATTAGAATTGCATCCCCAATATTTTTCACCATATGTTACCCTGAAGGTTGTCCAGTTCCCCTGCTTCAAGTCATAATGTCGGTATTTGGGATTCTGTACAAATTTCCTTCCCCTTCTCTCTTTGTCCTTCGCTCCCTATTGCATGCCAGGCACTGTGCTAAGCCCTGGGGATACCGTGATGGGTAAGAAAATGGTCCCGAGTTCATGAGGACTGGACATTGAAACCACAACACAATGCCTTGTAGCTTCCATACACCTACAGAAGAGAAGCGACCGAGGAATTCTTCCTTTCATTCAGAAAACATTGAGTTACGTCTCATACAAAATAAGACACACATCTTGACCTTCAACAGCTTGCAGTGTAGTGGAGACTGGTGAGTTTTGAAAATTCAATCTCCTGTAAAAGGACAGAGGCACCAGCCTTTTGGTCTAGAGCTGAGAATGGTGTCAACTTACATAATGTTTTCCTTCTTTATTTCTCACAAAGAGAAAGCACATTCCACTTGAGGGAGCTAATCACTGAACCTTAGCAGGTCACATTGCTTTTGCTTTCTTGTTGACAACATGTAGAAATCTAAATCAAGAAAGTCAACATGTCATAAGTGATGGTATTCCCTAAAATGCCGCTTCAAACCTAGAGCCAAGGGAATGATGATGTGTCTTATAAAAGGCTGACTGACTTCACTCTGGCTTTCCATGACTTTTCTTTTTGGACAATTTTAATAATATCAGAGGTGTATATAAAAATAAGGTCAGATAAATCTAAGAGCTAAAAACTACAATATTTATAGACAAAAAATATAGAAGAAACACTTTATAACCTTGACAGGACACAAAAATTAGGAACCAAAAAAATTTAACAAATTGAACTTCATTAAAATTAAAACTTTTGGTCTTGAAAAGACACAGTCAACAAAATAAAAAATCAAGCCCATAGACAGGGAGAAAATATTTGCAAAACAAATATCTGACAAAGGACTTTAGTCTGGAACCTATAAAGAACCCTATAAACTCAAAAAATAAGAAGGCAAACAACCCAATTTTTTAAATGGACCAAATATTTGAAAAGCTACTTCACCAAATAAGGTGGATAGATGGCAATTAAGCACACAAAAAGTTGAGGAACATCATTAGTTATTAGGGAAATGCAAATCAAAACACAATGAGAGAACATTACATACCTATTAGAATGGCCAAAATTAAAAAGACTAACTAAGTGTTGGTGCAGATACAAAGCAACTGGAACTCTCATACTGCGCTGATGGGAACACAAAATGTTACAGCCATTTTAGAAAATAACTTAGCAATTTCTTATACACTACAATTCAGTAATTACACTTCTAGGTAGTTACCAAAGAGAAAATAAAAATATATGTACAAAGACTTATAAACAAACTAGAGGCCCGGTGCATGAAATTCGTGCACGGGGAGGGTCCCCCTCAGCCCAGCCTGCACCCTCTCCAATCCGGGACCCCTTGGGGGTTTCTGACTGCTGGTTTAGGCCCGATCCCGGGGATGGGGCCTAAACCAGCAGTCGGACATCCCTCTCACAATCCTGGACCGCTGGCTCCTAATCGCTCACCTGCCTGGTTGCCCTAACTGCCCCCACCCCGTGCTGGCTTTGTTGCCCCAAACTGCCCCCTCCCCGCTGGCCTACTCGCCCCTTCCTGCCCCCCTGACCAGCCTGGATGAGGGGATGATGGCTGTTTGCAGCTGGTCACACCCCCTTCAGGGTGGGGGTCCCCACTGGGGTGCCTGGCCAGCCTGGATGAGGGGATGATGGCTGTTTGCAGCTGGTCACACCCCCTTCAGGGTGGGGGTCCCCACTGGGGTGCCTGGCCAGCCTGGATGAGGGGATGATGGCTGTTTGCAGCTGGTCACACCCCCTTCAGGGTGGGGGTCCCCACTGGGGTGCCTGGCCAGCCTGGATGAGGGGATGATGGCTGTTTGCAGCTGGTCACACCCCCTTCAGGGTGGGGGTCCCCACTGGGGTGCCTGGCCAGCCTGGATGAGGGGATGATGGCTGTTTGCAGCTGGTCACACCCCCTTCAGGGTGGGGGTCCCCACTGGGGTGCCTGGCCAGCCTGGATGAGGGGATGATGGCTGTTTGCAGCTGGTCACACCCCCTTCAGGGTGGGGGTCCCCACTGGGGTGCCTGGCCAGCCTGGATGAGGGGATGATGGCTGTTTGCAGCTGGTCACACCCCCTTCAGGGTGGGGGTCCCCACTGGGGTGCCTGGCCAGCCTGGATGAGGGGATGATGGCTGTTTGCAGCTGGTCACACCCCCTTCAGGGTGGGGGTCCCCACTGGGGTGCCTGGCCAGCCTGGATGAGGGGATGATGGCTGTTTGCAGCTGGTCACACCCCCTTCAGGGTGGGGGTCCCCACTGGGGTGCCTGGCCAGCCTGGATGAGGGGATGATGGCTGTTTGCAGCTGGTCACACCCCCTTCAGGGTGGGGGTCCCCACTGGGGTGCCTGGCCAGCCTGGATGAGGGGATGATGGCTGTTTGCAGCTGGTCACACCCCCTTCAGGGTGGGGGTCCCCACTGGGGTGCCTGGCCAGCCTGGATGAGGGGATGATGGCTGTTTGCAGCTGGTCACACCCCCTTCAGGGTGGGGGTCCCCACTGGGGTGCCTGGCCAGCCTGGATGAGGGGATGATGGCTGTTTGCAGCTGGTCACACCCCCTTCAGGGTGGGGGTCCCCACTGGGGTGCCTGGCCAGCCTGGATGAGGGGATGATGGCTGTTTGCAGCTGGTCACACCCCCTTCAGGGTGGGGGTCCCCACTGGGGTGCCTGGCCAGCCTGGATGAGGGGATGATGGCTGTTTGCAGCTGGTCACACACCCTTCAGGGTGGGGGTCCCCACTGGGGTGCCTGGCCAGCCTGGATGAGGGGATGATGGCTGTTTGCAGCTGGTCACACACCCTTCAGGGTGGGGGTCCCCACTGGGGTGCCTGGCCAGTCTGGGTGAGGGGCTGAGGGCTGTTTTCAGGCTCTGCGGGTGACTGAAGCTCCCAACCGCTCCTTTTTTTTCTTTTTTTTTTTTTTATTCTGGGCCAGCTTTAGCTCTGGCTCTAGCTCTGAGGCTTCCGCTGCTGGTTCTATAATCGAAACAATGTATAAGTCCAGCTCTGAGATCCCGGCCGGCTGAAAGTGTTACAAAGTTTCAAACTGCCAGCTCAGAGGCCGGCAGCGCAGGCGGGGAACGTTGGCTTCCTCCTTCAATGAAGGAAGCAAGCCTCATGTTCGCTTTAAGCTGCCTGGCTGCCGGCAGCCATCTTGGCTGACAGTTAATTTACATATCTCCCTGATTAGCCAATGGGAAGGGTAGCGGTCGTACGCCAATTACCATGTTTCTCTTTTATTAGTGTAGATGTTTATGAAATCTTTGTTTGTAATACCCACAAATGGGAAACAATCCAAATGTCCATACTGGTGAATTAATAAACAAATTAGAGTATATCTACATTTTGGAATACTACTCAGCAATAAAAAGGAACAAGCTATTGATGCATGAATGAATCTCAAAAGCATTAAGCTAAATGAAAGAAGCCATACACAAAAGACTACATAATAGATGTGTCATGTATATGAAATTGTAGAAAATTATAGTAATAGAAAGCAGATAAGTGATTATCAGAACTTGAAAATGATTGGGAGAGGGTGAGACTGCCTGCAAAAGGGCTGAGGAAACTTAGGAATGATTGAAATTTTCTTGATTGTGGTAGTGGTTACATGACTGTATATATTTGTCAAAATATATAGTGCACTTAAAATGCGTGAGTTTTACTACATGTAAAAATACCTCAAAAAGTCAATTTTTTAAAAGTGATGTCAGGATCCATAAATTGAAGCATCCTAACCCCATTCCCCAGATTAGATTAGGTCCATGCTCTCACATCATTCTTGTCTTTAGTGTAAGTAATTGTTTAATTTTTTGGCTTGCCAAGTAGATTTTTAGTTTTGGAGACGATCCATGTCTATCTTATTTAATGCTATATGACATAGCACAATACCTAGCACACATGAGGTGCTCAATAAATGCAAGCCAAACTGGCATAGGTCTAAGCTATGCTTATTAACTCACATATCTATTTATTTGGAGATGTACAGCAAATGGATGTCCGAAGGTTCCCTGAGGAGCTCA